GCCGCAGCAGCCGCAGTAGGAAATGACGACAACATTAATGACGTCTTTACCCTCTCGCAGCACTGCCATAGCGTGCTACGATGATTTTTGGAACGGTGTTGGCAGTACTGCCATCGCTGACAAACAATTTTGGAACACAGCCCACGCTCGCACTCATAATTATGCATTGTCTCGTCCGGATGGATATAATTGTAGTAGCGCTCTAGTGATGGGAAAATTTGAAAAAATCGAATTTAAAAATCGATTCCCTTTTCTTTTAAGGATTGTTTTCAGAATCGATTCATCGACTTGGAAAAGAATCGATTCTAAAGAATCGTATAAGAATTTTTTACTCTTTTTTACATATTAATATATAATTGTCGCTTTTTGGAAAAACGAGGAAAATTTTGGAAAATAAAGGAAACTAGAAAAATCAGGAAATGTTTAAAATAATTCAAAATTACATATTATATTTGTAGTATATATGTATATATATTTTTATATTTACATATATTTTTACTTAATTATTACTCAAAATAAAATAATCAATTTTTCATTGCACTAGCCAATCTTTTTTGCTGCGATCACCAATATTCCTTATTTAACGAACTTAAAAATATAATTTTGGAAGCCCGTTTTCCTTTTAACCGATTGCGTTTCTCAGTAATGATATTGCCGGCTTTACTGAACAGTCTTTCACATGGCACGGAGGTACCAACAATGACTAAATATTTTAAAGCTACATATTTCGTACAAGTGTGGATGCAGTGCTCTCAAACGCTGCCAAGTTTTTAAAGGACACTCACAGTTGACGCTCGACACTCGATTCGAGCATCAAATTAATCACGTGATCTTCTTCTTAGCGGGAGAATGGCCCTGATCAACCAATCACAATAAATTATTCTCATATTCGACTGCGATTAGTAAAAAAGGAACCGATTTTCTAAAAAAAGGAATCGATTCAGTAAGAATCAAGATTCCGAAGAATCAGATAATAATCGAATATTTTGAGTCTAAAAGAATCGATTTTTCAAGAATCGGAAAAGAATTTCCCAATTCCCATCACTATAGCGCTCCGCTACGCTATCCTCAGCAGGTTTTTAACTAAAAATCAAAACAACCGGCTCGCGCTCGATCACGCCCTATTTTGTCTACAGCCTTCATTGTTTTCCTGTTGTGCGATTCCTCAACACGTATCTGGTTTTTTCTTTTGGTAAAATTTCGATAAGTCTTTTCAGGTATGGGCAAATCATCCCATAAACCGAAGAAGAGGAAGAGATCCTCATCCATCGAACGTTTGCTGCATTAGAGGAAAAGATATCACGCTTAATTGACATCCTCTCACAGAACGAGGTTAGAGTGCCCGTAGCTAATTCCTCCTTTATTGCGGCACCGCAGTTTGACCATGGGTCACGCATCGAGTCGCCTCAGATCTCAGAGGCAATCTCGTTACCCCAAGCAGGGTTGGCGAACAGGTGTGTATGAATACTGCTGGTTCTGTATTTGCGAAATACAGGCGGCATGACGACACAACCTGTTTTTTCTCCTGCTATCTCTTTTTACAGAGGTAAGTGACACAAGCGAGGATGATGCCCCCCTGCGCCTTCTATCCATGTCTCACTAGAAGATAGCTCGTTACTGGCTATCACAGCGTCAGCCGAGGACGATGATGCTTCCCTCTCCAAGCAATTATTCGGAATGTGACATCCAGGAAATCTCCCTCTGGGATGAAATTGTTACTCGGACGTGGCGGGACTTAGCACGTGGTGGCTTGGTTGCTGATCAGCGGGAGCTTCTGCTAAAGAAATACTCCCCCCCTCCCCGAACCGGTGGCTTTTCTCAAGGCTCCTGCTTTAAATCAAGAATGCTGGATGACCCTTAAGAATAACGCTACAGTCAAAAGAGATGATTTTGCTAGTAAGAACCAGGATCAGGTTGACACAGCTCTCTCCGCCTTCGGAGAAGCCATCTCCGATTTTCTCAAGCCAGCCACGCAAAATTCTCTGTGTCTCAAGGCTAGCTTAGCAATCGCTAAGGTTAATGATGGCACTAAGATACTGATCGACCTTTTCCATCAGTCGTCGCTAACCAGACGGGCACAGATCACGCCCACACTTAACCTCATTGCAAAAAGCACCGCGGACGCTATTCCGTTGGATCAGCTTCTTTTTGGTTCCTCCTTTGGCGAAGAAATGAAGAAAGCTGCCTCTATGCAAAAATCATCCAGGTAAATCGTCAGGCCGCAGTTGCTAATTTCTAGGAGAATTCAACAGCCAATCTCGCAGCCCTTACGGATAGCAGTTTCAAAATCGGGAAATGCTCGAGCCCCTGCGTCTCATTCCAGGGCGACATCGAGGAGATCAGGGGCGAGTATCAGTCGCCATTCATACCGAGCCAGATCCCAGTCGAAGTCGAGGAGGCGTTAAACTGCGAGGAGGTAATTATTGGCGGTAGGCTAGCCTGTTTCTTTTCCCAATGGAGAAATATTACTTTGGATCAAAGAATTCTAGAAACTATCTTAGGCTATAGATTACCATTCACACAACAACCGCCCTCTCAGGTCAGCGAGCCTTTCGCTCACTTGTCCGATCTCGAAGAACAACTTTGCTCTCAGAAGATCTCCAGGCTTTTAAATATGGGGGCAATCGAGCCAACGGTGGACTCAGACCGTCATTTTTTATCATTGAAAAGTCTTCAGAAGGTTGGAGATTTATCCTCAACCTAAAGAATCTGAACCGCTTTATAACCGCTCCACACTTCAAGTTAGAGGACTGGAAGACTGTAATTCGTCTCATCTTACCGGGTGACTACCTAGCCTGCATTGACTTGAGAGACGCCTATTTTCTGATTCCTGTCCATCAGGACGATAGAAAATACTTACGCTTTCGCTTTCGAGGCGTGCTCTTTCAGTTCAGAGTTCTACCTTTTGGCCTAGCATCGGCTCCTTATATATTCACGAAAGTATTGAAGCCAGTTATATACTCTCTTAGAGAGAGAGGCTTCTTTTCGGTAATCTACCTGGACGATTTTTTGCTAATTGCACCCTCACACAATCAATGCCTGGATAATATTTTCGCTATAGTCGGCCTCTTATCCTCTCTAGGTTTCCTAGTTAACAAACATAAGAGCGTTCTAACCCTGACCAAATCCTGTAGGTTTCTCGGTTTTCTTTTTGATACAGATCTTTTTACGCTTTCCATTCCCTCCGATAAGAGAGAAAAGCTTTTACAGAAGACTCTGAGTTTGCTAAGCAAAAGCAATTGTAAGATTCGCTACCTAGCGAGTTACATTGGCTCTCTGATATCAGTTTGTCCAGCAATTCAGTATGGCATCCTACATACAAAGATACTAGAAAGAACAAAGTTTTTAGCTCTTACGGCATCGGGGGACAACTTCGAAGCCCGAATGCCCCTCCCGACATCGCTTAGAGAAGATCTGCTATGGTGGAAGGACATCTTCGAGGATTTCTCTCAGAAGAATAATATCAGATCAAGACTCTTCGCCCTTGAAATTTTCTCGAACGCTTCCCTCACAGGATGGGGAGCCGTGTGTCGCGGAGAACGTACCCATGGATTCTGGTCGCCGGAAGAGAGATTCTTCCATATTAACTACT